TCCGATCCGAATCCGCCATCGTCGCCCAAATCGGAGAAAATGAACCCCTAGGTTTTAAGTTTCTAGGGTTTTTATTTTGAAACGGCAGCGAGGGCGGAGAGAGATCGCGACATTTGAACGCCTCAGTTGTCTTTTTTTTTTGGATAGAGGAGGGAGTGTTTGTTGGACTGTAGGAGTACGAAGATGGATAAAAAATATTATTTTTATCTTATTTTATTTTCTATATATTGATTTTAAATGTGTAACGGAACGGAACGGAACGGGATTGAGAAGGCATAAATCGGTAATGATTAACGGACAGACGCCGTGACGGGATGTAGGGTTTTGCACGTGATGGAATAGGAAGGGGAGGACGGTCAGCCGTTGCGGGGTTGTAAACTTCCCCGTTTGTTTCCGGTTTTTGGATGGGTAAAAGAGAAAAAAGCTGTCAAAAATATCAGTTTTTTGACAGCTTCCTCCTAAAATTGCCTCTTATAAAAGCTGATATTTTTGACAGCTTTCCCCATTTTTACCCATCTAAAAACCGATCCAAATAGCTAACATTTAAAGTGTTTCTTTTTGTAGTTTTTCAAAGGTGAAAGTGGAGGTAGGTGGTTAATATAGGCCCAAAGGCATATTCTTGTACAATGTTTCCTATTCGGTTTTTCGATTTTAGGCCCTTACATCTTCAATATTTCAACATAGTCCCTTACATTATTAAAATTGGTATTAGGTCCCTTAAATCATGCTAGGCCTTCCAAAGTACTCCCTCTGTTTGGTTTGCGGTCAAATATTTCAACTCTGCTTAAGTTAAGAGTTATCCCTCCAATTACAAAAGTACCCTCTTATCATTTTCTCCCCCAAAGTATCAATATCCCTTTCTCTCATAAGAAAAAAAATAACGTAAGTAGAGAGATGATCCAGTCTTTAGGCCTGTCCATCCGGCCCGGCCCGGCCCGGCCCGGAAATCCGGGCTCGGGCCCGACCGGGCCGGGCTCCGGGCCGGCCCGGATTTTTTTATTTTTTTAAAATTTTAAAAAAACAATAAAACATAAAAATTATATTTATATAATAGTATATATATATTTATACTCTTATATAAATATAATTATATATGTACATATAAGTTTATGTTTATATATATGTATAGATATATAAATATATATATTTATACTCTTATATGTATTTATACTATTATATAAATATACTTATATGTACATATAAGTTTATGTTTATATATGTGTATATATATAAATATACTTATATATGTATAATATATGTGTATATATATTTATACTCTTATATAAATATATAATATACTTATATATGTATAATATATGTGTATATATAAGTATACTTATATACTAAGAGAGAGAGTATAAATAAATATATATAAGAGAGAGCATACTTATACATATATATAATTATATAAGAGATATAAACATATATAAGAGAGAATATACTTATATTTATATATACTTATATACTAAGTAGCCCAAAGTATTCATGTCATTCAATATATACTTATACATATATATAATTATATAAGAGATATAAACATATATAAGAGAGAATATACTTATATTTATATATACTTATATACTAAGTAGCCCAAAGTATTCATGTCATTCAATATATGTATATGTATATATATACACACACACTGACACACATATACATATATTATACATAAACAAATTGTAAATACTTATAGTAATTACATAAACAAATTGTATTATACATAAAAACACACACACATATAAACTTATATATACACACATATATTATACATATATAAGAGAGAGTATACTTATACATTATACTTATATATATATATATGAGCAATATGGGTATGCTTGGTACCAAGCATAAAAAGTTATGCTTGGTAGTGATGTGTCACATCCCCCTCCACTCATTCAAATATGGGACCACATTCACATGGGTAGTGAGTGGATGAGGATGTGACACATCACTACCAAGCACAAAATTTGTGCTTGGTACCAAGCATACTCATTTTTCTCTCTCTCTCTATATATATATATATATATATGAAAACTAAAACTTGTGTTGTATATATATATATATA